ATGTTTTTAATGTTGGGAACAAAGGGGTACAGAATTCTCAAGCACTGAGAATTCTTGATTCAACAAATCACTCTCAATCATATGGCACTTAGAATGATTTGGTAAACATAGATAACTTCATTTGTGATCCAATTAATACTGCTTGTTAATGAACTTCAAAGAGGTACTACTATTCAAAGCTCCTTCTCATGTAGAGAACTGTACTTCTCTATCTTTTCCTATGTCTGAACCTCCCCCTGCCCTCCCCCCACATACATACCCTTTACATTCCCCTATCTTTCTATCCTCTCTCTCAATAACTTCAAATCTAAAGATGCATTATGTCTGTGTGTTTACTTGGTTTAAGTGTGTGTGGTTCTTTAAAAGAGATCTCACTATATAGCACAGGCTGGCCTGGAACTCAGAATCTTCCTCCCTGGTTTCCTCAATGTAAGGGTCACAGGTGTGCATTACCATGTCTGGCTTTACAGTTGTGTTTTGTTTGTTGTGAATCACTGTGATTACAGGACTAAATGATGCAAATGTAGACTTTAAGGCACTCTTTCTCTGATGTAGATCTCTTTGTTTGGTCTTTCTTTTTAAAGAGTTGATCAGAATATGCACTGGATCCCACTCTCAGTTACTTCATCATCTAAGGCATTAATAAACATTATGACATCACTGAGTAAGTTAGTACAGAAACAACCCTCCTGAGCAGGTACATCAGAAACTACAATCAGCTGCACAATCACTAGGATTCTGATGCATTTGGAAGAGAAATCATGACCCTTGTGAGTTTAGTAATAGTGACAGAGGAACTTATAATAAGTAGATGGAATGTATGTTTTTTTTAACCAGTTACTGAACTACCACAAAGGGAGTCCAGTTCTATCTTCTACTTTGAGCTATTGATAAATACTCCTGAAAATGTTGCCATTTGCCTAGAATTCTTGGCCTAGACCCAGAATAAATACTTCGCCATACTTTCACTCTTAGACAAAGACTCAAGCCATTGTGCCATTATACACAAACTTCTTGGGTATTATTGTCCATGTTATCCAATAATACCTTGTTATGATGCAAATTTCAATCCAGTATACCTGGATGGGCCCCAGGTTCTACATTTCTAGAGCATTCTCAGAGGTTGCTGCTTTAGCTGCTGTCTCCTGACACATCTTTTGATAAGCAAGATTCTCAAGGATGGCTGAAGTATGCTATAGAACATTCCTTGGAACATTCTTGTGAATTTTTAAACACATGTTTCTTCATGATGGCCTCATCCCAACATTTGAAACAGATGCTAGGGTACTTTGATGATTGGCTAAATTTTATAATGTCCTATATTATACCAGCCAATCCAAATTTAAGGAAGAGGTCAATCTATAGTAATAATAATCAATTAGTTACCATAATTGCATGTTTCTTACTGCATTTTCTGGAGTCCTCTGGCAGAATTGGACTGCTAATGTTTATTTTTTTAATGATTTATACAGTAGCTCTTTGTCTCAAGTAGATAAGAACACACCAAAAAGCTAGAAATCTGAAAAACATTCCATTTTATATCAATGTTTCAAGATATGTTTAATTAAAATAAACAGAAAAGTCTTTTCCTTTCTCTGAACCCACAGTCTGTTAAGCACATGGCGCCATTTCTCACTGTAATCACAATAAAACACAACCCATATTCCCTGTAGAATTTAGGCATCCATCAAATAATTTCAGTCATTCTTTATACTCAATTATTGTATTAGTACACACACACACACACACACACACACACACACACACACACACACACACAAATGCACTCATGTATACACACAGTCATGTTCATATACATAATCAAGCACACATACCCAAGCACACATGAGATATATGTTATGTAAGGATGTCAACATCAATACTTTTTTAATGTCAGATTCCTGTTTTAGACATTTGAGTTTTTAGACTTTTCCATAGTACCCTGATAATTAGGCTTTGATAATCCACAAGTTAGGGTCTTCCAGGAACTGCCCGTTTGACTCTAATATGATCCCAGTACACTGAGAGAAAGCTGTTCGGACGAGAATGTGCTGAAAGGATGGAGGTGGCTTCCATGCAGGGCATATTTCGGCTTTTTTTCCAAATAACATTCTTGTGGAGATTAGAGGATAATCTGGCAGCCAGACTCAGCCAATTAAAACAGTAATTGAAATGGTCGAAAATGTTTCTCTTGGCAAAATTTTGTTAGTTTCTTCATTTGGGTTCCCTTGAGTCACAAAAACTGAGGTCAGACACAAGACTCCTAATTTATTTTGTTAGTTATCTTTTCTCATCAAACAGAGAAGCACTGCTGAAATTAGCTGAAAGCTGTGGTATGAGGTGGTATGAAGGCAGGCATGAGAAAACACAAAACGATTCTCGAGCCAACACAAGTACGCCTGGTATGAGCCCAGAATGCGTGAGAGCGTCTGTGTTGAGTGGTTGAGGACAAAATGAGGAAGGAGATGTTAAAAATAAATAAATAAATAAAGACATAGATGACATAGCCTTAATTTTTCACATTATATGCATGTACACACACATACACACACATATATGTACATGTGTCCTTGCAAGCCCTAGTATATGTGAAAGCATACACGTACACATGCAAGTAGAGGGCTGAGGTTGCTTTTGAGTGTCTTCCTCGATCTCTCTCCAATTAATTCACTGAGGTACAGTCTCCCACTGAATCCAGAGTTCACCTTTTCTGTACTCTAGGTAGTCGGCCAGCTCTAACTAGGATTACCTACAGTTACAGGGCCTGCATGGCTTTTCATGAGTTCTAGGGATGCAAACTGTGTTCTTCAAGATTTTGCAGCAAGCACCAGCCCATATTCTTGGAAAAAGTAAGTTTAACTTCCCTCAGAATAATAGGTACTTGAAAGAAGAGACATACTTTTAAAATATCTAACATAAACTACTAAAAAGGCTAATGTATGTATCATAATTTTCTTCCCCTGAAACCAATTGTGTGATAGTGAATAAGTGTTTAATAATTACCTGTACCATAAGGGGGATCCAAGCTTTGGCATTTGCCAGTTTCTTTGGTGTCAACATTTCCATCGTGGCTAATTTTAATCCATCACCTGATGTTGTTGATGGATACAATTAGTTTTCAAATCATTGTCAGCTGCGTCAGTATGTGAACAAGTCAAGTCACAATTTTACAGAGAAAGAAGGAAAAAGAGAGAAATAGTCCAGGTTGATATCAAGTAAAAAAATATCCATAGCAAATTCTGCGGAGATGAGCATATCAGAAATTAATTAATTTAAGTTTTACTGAGATGGATGACAATACTTCAGAAAACCCCAATCATATAATGAATTTAAAAATGAATACACTCTCCTATGTCAATCTACGCCTCTTTCCTTCAGAACCTTATTTCAAATCTCTACTTCTCCAGGAGCATCATCTTAAAAAATATGAGATGAGTTGTAGTATGCATTTAGCATCCTCCTTGAAATTGAGACAATTTCAAGGTATCATATATTCCTGAGTGTAACTCCACGCGTTAGACTCACTTAGGAGCTTCCGGTACTAAAATGCTTATTTCTCTCACCCTAGACTGAGTAAATTAGAAGGCTTGGGATGGAGTCTTGCATTGATGACTTTGAAAAGCTCCTCAAGTGTGTGATCTGCAACCAGTGTCAAAAACAAAACTTTATATATATATTATTTGTTTATATTTCCACTGAAAGCACTCTGAAAGTTAGCTATGCTTTCATCCTATTAAATTACAAACCATGTGGCAGGGCCATACGTATGATTTTTTTCCTTCCTTTACTTCTTTGCCATACCCATACTTTTGTCAAGAGTAGTCAATAAATAAACATTTTCCCCATTATTTTAAGTGGGCTAGAAACAGGATGCATTTTCCAGAGAGTATAAATTGTTTTCACATTTTCCTATTTTTTTTAACCTGAAGGTTTCAAACCAAGTTCAGACATCCCTAAGATGGATCAAAAGCACCAGTAGCGTGTGCTAAAGGGTGGCAGTGTTTAATTGTTCCAGGAAAAAAAAAAATGCATGCAGAACAAATCACCCCTCGCTTAGTGTGGGAGCTTATGTTTTAGGTACCTTCTTGTTCTGTGATAAAAAATAGTGTGATCAAAAGCAACTGAGAGGAGAGAGGAGTTTGTTTTGCCTTGTGGTTCTGGAGGGAGAGAGTTTGTAACACTGGGGAAACCATGGCAACAGGAGCAGGAAGCAGAGAGGTCACATGTATGCATACACAGAAAACAGAGGATGAGAACAGGAAGTAGGGTGAGGCTATAAACCCTTAAAGCCTGACTCCATTGACCCACTTCTTCAAGCAAGGCTCTACCTCTCAAAGGTTTGAAAACCTCCCCAAACAGTGATACTAACTGGGGACCCACTGCCCAAATACATGAGTCTATGGAAGACATTTCTCATTCACACCACAACACTAACTGCAAGTCTGATTTAATGAATTATTAATTCATGAGACTTATCTCCACTATGCTGATATGAATACTATTATGCACAGGAGAGAAAATAAGTAGATATGCATGCATATAAATAATGTAAAACTGTGTAGTAATATGGGCAAGGTTTAAACTTTTCCCTGGAAGAACACACTATATAATGGTATATCGTACAATTTAGTATGGTTAATTTACTTGCACAATTCTTCCTCCAAGAAAATTTCAGGACATTAAAAAGTGATCCAGGCATACTTTCCAAATACACAACCATCATCATTAATAGCTGCATTGATCAACCTTCTATCTCCAAATCTTGGAAAACCACGTTTGGTGTGCGGAAATCCATGCCACCCTCAGGCAATGCAATGGAGCCAAGAATATCAGAAGCACAACAAATAACAGCTGAGGCTGCTTGCATGTGTGGTACCATTTAGGCTAATACCCAGGATATAATATCGGTTGTTCAAAGGGTGCAGCTGCACCAGCTGGCTGACTGTTGAAGGCAGCAAAGACGCAGGAGGCAGAAACTGGCAGCATTCCTTACCTTCCTCCACACCCACGCAAGTTCTGGAAAGCACTTCTCTAGGTCATGTTCACCGGGAACCATAGCCAGTATTTCGGTAAAATTTATGGAGCATGGTCAACTGAAGAGAAGGAAGCTTCCATCCCTTGGCATGTCACTGTGAGGTCTACAGAGTGTGATGGTTAATCTTCACTGCCAGCTTGAACAGATTTAGAATAGTTTAGGAGACACAGCCGTAGTCAGTCTTTCTTGTCAGACTTCCTTTGGACCACCAACCCCTAGATAATGACACAAAGATGTCTTATTAACTGGGAATGCTTGGCCTTAGCTTAGGCTTGTTCACAACTAGCTCTTATAACTTAAATTAACCCATTTATATCAACCTATGTTCTGCCACATGGCTTGTTACCTCTCCTCCAGACTGTACATCCAACTCCTCCAGGTCTTGCTGGCTTAATTCCAAGTGCCTCAGATTCTTCTCTCTCCCTGGCAGTCCTGCCTCTCTCTCTCCCTGGCAGTCCTGCCTATTCTCTCCTGCCTAGCTATTGGCCATTCAGCTCTTTATTAAACCAATCAGAAGGTGCCTTAGGCAGAGACACATCTTCACAGTGTACAAAAATATTACCCACATCACACAACCGAGTACACCTCTGGGGGCTTTAACTGGGGAGAGAAGAGCCACCCTGAATGTGGGCACAACCACCCCCATGGGCTGGGGTGCTGGAGTAAATAAAAAGAAGAAGATAAGCTGAGCATCAACAGTCGTCTTTCTCCACATCCTGAATGGATACCATGTGACCAGCTGTCCCACCATCTCATTTCTATGCCTTCTCCCTGGTCCTGTATCCCTTCTTACACCCTGAGCGCAAACAAATTCTCTTTCCTTACACTGCCCTCCTCAGATATCTTGTCACAGCAATGAGAAAGGGAAGCATTACAACAGATCCAACAGATACAGGGCGTATTCATCATTGCTACAGCACAAGTAGTCGCTGCAGTGAAACTTAGGATCTCAAACAGCAACCACTTAATTTTCCCTTGTGTTGGAACAATGAATTTGAACTCAATAGGGAGGGCTTCCTTCTCATTGCAAATCTGCAAGTTAATCACAGCAGCTCTAGCTTAGGCACATTCATCTGATGGCTTAGGAAAAGAGGCCTGGGACAACTTGAAAGGGCCCTCCCCACAGCAGTAGCAGGGGGACACAGGTACAAGTGAAACTGGACACAGCTTAAGGTTTTGAGGATTCATTCCTTCTGGTGTATTATTGTCCAAACCAAATTGCAAGGCCCAGTACAAATCCCATCAGGAAAGAAACACATTATTTATACAGAGGTGTCAAAGTACAGGGGTAGAGAAAAAGAAATTCAGCATATCAGTCAGTCACACAAACATACCCATTGTTCCAGAAAAGACTAATGGCATCACGCTGATGCTGACATCATTAACGATAGTAGCTCTTGTTATGTATTTATAATGGCTTAGGCATTGTTCTAAGGGAGGGAGAGGGAAGAAAAGAGAAAGAAGAGAAATGAGAGGGACGAGTATACTTTGTTTTCCCAATTGCCTTATGAGACTAATTCCATTACATATTCCATTTATAGATGAAGAAAAGATAGAGATTTATAAGCAAATAATGCATGAGTATTAATTTAAAAGAACAACTATGGCTAACTTTTGAACAATTATATAGATACAATATGTGCATTGGGCTTCAAAATGTTAAAGGTGTCTGTAATGATATCTTTAGTTTTGATAGTCATCACAGACTATCTAGATCATTGAATCATGCTCAACAACATGAGCTCCTCACTAGGATTTACCTCAAGAATGAGCACACGAGTAGAACTCAGTAGAAGGCATCAATCAAATAAACTAACTTAACCCTTTATGTGAAAACTTCAAAAATTGTGATGGGTTTTAAAAAATATCACACTGGCACTGTGATACATCATTTAATGTTCTCTTCCTCTTGTGTCTTGTAGATTTGAGGCTTAGGGAATTTCGCATATAACTTCTATGGCATGATAATTGAAGTCCTTTTTCATTTATATTTCAGAGTACTCTAAAGCCATATAGGCTCCTCTTGCTGTACTGCAGAGAAGGTGGGCCACCTGAAAACTGCCCCTGAAGCAGACACAGGGTTCACAGCAGCCTGGGGCAATCTCCAGCAGATGCCATGGCCTGTCCTCCAATGTTGCTGAGGTCATGAACACAACAAGGTGCTTTCCTGGGATACCAACAATTCCACGAGCTCCTTGAAGGTCAAAATCGCTTTCTACGGTGGCCAGGTGGTGGTGGCGCATGCCTTTAATCCCAGCACTTGGGAGGCAGAGGCAGGCGGATCTCTGTGAGTTCGAGGCCAGCCTGAACTACAGAATGAGTTCCAGGAAAGGCGCAAAGCTACACAGAGAAACCCTGTCTCAAAAAAACAAAAAAAAAAAAATGGCTTTCTATGACCCATAATTCTCCAAGAGACTGTTCCCATGCCTGATTTCTTGTTTGCAACTACTTCTATTTGAAGTACTACTGCCCTTGTCTAGATAATGTAACTCATTATAGACAATCAGTGTTGAAAATTTATAAACAGATAATTTTCAATAATTATAGTAAATCTTCCAAGGGGAATATTTATGTTACTATATCTTTAGATGTTAAACATCTTTGAGAAGAAAACTGACATCTTAGTAAGTTACATTTTAAGGTGCCTTTAATAGCTTATAATATTTGGCCAAGTAAATAAATTGTCAGTTAGTTTAAGAAAATGTACACTTTACTTTTTAACAATGAAAACCACTCATTTTTTAAACAACCATTTTATTGAGGAATAATTTACATTAAAACAGCTATGCAAGGCATGGTGGCACATGTCTTTTATACCAGCATATAATAAGTGGAGGCAGGAAGACAGAAGTTCGTTCTTGGCTACATAATGAGTTAGAGGCTAGCCCAAGCTGCAGGAGACCTACTGTCAAAACAAGAACAAAGGCAGCCTCACATATTTAATGTAAACAACGTAAGTTAGCAATACTTATGCATCTATGAAACCATTGCCACAACATACGGCATAAGCCTTTCACATGCAGAGACTTCATCCACCTATGATGATGATCAGGATTACTATGTAAGGGACATTTAACACAAGAGCTATTCTTGTAACAGATTTTTACACACACAAATCAGGATTGTTAAGTCTATGCTTAAATAGTGACTATTGCAAATGTATTTTCCACCTTGACCAACCCCTCCTTTAGCCTCCTAGCTCCTGTCAACTCCCATTCTACTTTCTGCTACTGTGAGTTTGACTTTGTGGGGGAGGACTTTCTACACAACTTAAGGAACGTAATACTCACCTTTTTGTGCCTGACTTATGTCACTTAACACAAAGTCCTGTACATTCATTTCTGTTGTGGTCAATGCCAGGGTGTTCTCCTTTATCAAGCTATATCATTGTGTGCCACGTTTTCTTTATCCATTGGTCACTATTGAAAATAATGCTTTACTGAAAGGAGCTACAGATGACTCTGTGAGAGAATCCTGTTTTCCTTTGGATGTTGTCTTCATTACTTTTCTGTTGCTATGATAAAAAAAACAAAACAAAACACCCTGACAAAGCAGATTAAAGGAAAGGGGGCTTGTTTGGGTTTGCAGTTTGCTATGTGATTAATCTTTTCCTGGAGAGATGCAACAGACATGTCTACTAACCCCAAATAGGGAACCCACGACAGACCAAAGCACAGATAATAACAAAGCCCAATTTGGTGAACTAATGAGGCTTATTGGAAGTTATTTACAGGAATATTGATGAGGGATTACTTACAGGAGCAGAAATGAATCAAATACAACTGCATCACCAAAGACCATTCCATCATGATTGACAGCTCACAAAAACTAGGAAACCTGGAACACACTACACAGCCGTAGGCAACTAAACAGGTTGGAGAGTGTCCTTTCCAGGTGCCCCAGTTGGTCTACACCTGTCCCAGGAAGTTCAGATAGTTGCTACTTCCTCCAAGTCTGGTCTCCAAGCCTTCTTTGTAGCTTTTTCCTCTGAGGGTCTTCTTTGCAGCTCTGTTCCACTAGTCTTGGAGGAACTCTCAGCTTTTACTGCTTACTCTGGCAGGGAGGGGCTTAGTGAGTCTGATCAGCTTCAGGGACTTCCTGAAGCAGATTTGAGTGGCTTAGCTTCATGCTTAAGGAGCTTCTTTACAGGCTGAAATGTTTCACTCCGGGAGGAAACTGTTACACAACACAGTTCCAGAACCTATGTAGTTCATCATGGAGGACAAGATGTGGCAACAGGCAGGGAAGACATGATGTCAGGCATGAAGCTGGCCAGTCACAATGTATCTGCACTCAGGAAAATGAGTGAAAAGAAAGTGAGGGTGCTCTCTAAAGTACTCCCCATGACTCAGCTCCTCTAGTGAGGCTCCATCTCCTGAGATTCCACAACCTTCTTAAACAATGCCACTACCTGGGGGCCAAGCGTTCAAACACAGGAACTAACGAGAGCACATTTCACATTCAACCACGATAGATATGTGCACAAGAGTCAGATTGCAAGATCATATAGCAGTTCTAAGTCTTGTTTTCTTTTTTTTTTTTTTTTTGTTTTTTGTTTTTTTTGGTTTTTCGAGACAGGGTTTCTCTGTGTAGCTTTGCGCCTTTCCTGGAACTCACTTGGTAGTCCAGGCTGGCCTTGAACTCACAGAGATCCGCCTGGCTCTGCCTCCCGAGTGCTGGGATTAAAGGCGTGCGCCACCACCGCCCGGCTTAAGTCTTGTTTTCTTATGGACACCCAAACTGCTTTCTATAGCCCTTAAACGATTTATATTGCCAAAGAAAGTTTACAAGAGTTTTCCTTCCTACACATCCATACCACTTCTTATTTTTAATAGCAGTTACTCTAACCAAACACATTTTAGTTTTTATTTACATTTCTCCAGTCACAAGTGATGTTGGATATTTTTTCATATACCCATTGGCCATCTGTAGAAAACATATTTTTAATATTTTACAATCTGTATTGAAGAAGGAAGGTTTTTGAAAAAAAAAAGAACAAGCAGTAACCATTAATAGGCTAATACGTTAGATGTGTTTGTCTCAATTTTTAAAATAATAATCCAGCATAGCAAACTTAAAAAGCAAAACAAAAATTCCCTCTCTTGTTTTTGTCAGCAATTATTCCAGGCAGTGCTTAGGTGTGAAGGAAAAGGAGTGAACAAGACAAACACACCCTTGTTCTTGCAGAGCTTAGCCCCAGACAACAAAGATGTTCTGTATACACACACAACAACTTTAAAAGAAGAGATTTCACAAACATGAAACAGACACGCAATTCTCAAATGTAACTTTGCAATTTAAATAGCTTGGCCGTGGCAGGTCCTGTTAAGAAAGCGGTGGGTAAATTCAAACTCAAAATGCACATGAAGTAAGATATATGTGCAGATAATAGAGCAAGGTTTACCCAAGCATCAGAAATTGTTTTTGCAGAGGGAACTTACGTTAAAGATGTGCCTGACATATTCCAAGAAAGAACAGGGGGTATTTGAGGAAAAAAGAAAAAAGAAAAAGATGAAAATAAAGTTAACTGTATGGCAACCAGGAAGATGGGTGTGTCCAGCTGTTTGGCTCTTCTGTCTTTATTGATTTATCTTACTAATTAATTAGCTGGGCACACAGGTAGGTAAGTAGGTGGCTAGTTTTAAGAATGTAATATGCACATACCATATGCACTTTCAAGTTCTGCATAGTTCACAGGCATATGCATGCTGGGTGAAAGACGGCTTTAAGGTACCCTGGCATGGTATCAATGCCCTCACCCCAAACGAAACAATGTCACCAGGTCTTCTATGTATCTTTCCAGAGACATTCCATGACTACTAATATGCTCTCCCAGGTGAGGTAATTCGGAAAAGCAAAGTGAGTCTTTGAGACCTGGACAAAGTTTGCTTTCATAGATTCAAGTTCATCCTTGTCCTGTAATTATAGGCACCCAAAGAGCAGCCTAAATCAGGCTAATCCCAGATGGGTGGAGTAGGGCCTATCTTCTGATGTCACCAAGTCACCCCATGAAGAAGTTACCTGTGGGTGGTCACTAATTTTTTTTGCCTGAGAGCTATTTCTGTTCTCACATCCAGAGGACGATTCCACGGCTTTCTGTCATCCTCTCCCATGGATAAAGAGTGACTTCACCAAGTGCTTGAAAACAGGTGTAATATAGTGAAAACACAAACTCTGGGCAACGTCAACAAACAAACAGAATAATACTAAAGGGAAAAATAAGTGGAAATCTCTGTGCTTCACCAGTAGACACAGGAGGAAACAGCAGATTCTTTGTATGATGAAAGTGAACGCTGCAAGTTTGTCCTCTTGGTGCCACCAACCCATTTGTAACACACTCTTCAGGCTTCCAGCTAAACAGATAAACCACAAGACCTTCTTGGGTTCTTTGATGTTACAGCCAGTCCTCTATTTTATTAAAGTCTGAATACTTAGAATCTGCTCTGTGAGATGTCCTGAGTAATTTTCTAATAGAATCAGGATAGATGTGATACAGTTATAACTTCTCAATTTTATATTAAAAGAAGGGTGTTCTCTCCCCTCCCCCTTGGAAAGACTGCTAGGACCCTCGTTTTGTCATTACCCAACTTTCTTACCCTGGAAGATTTTGAAACTGCTAAGTCGTCATCACGAGCACCATCATCACCATCATCACCATCATCATCATCATCATCATCATCATCATCAACATCACCACCATCATCATCACCATCATCATCATTAGCATCATCATCATCATCATCATCACCCCCAGCAGCAGCAGCAGCAGCAGCAGCAGCATTTCTAGCATGTAAGCATGACCCAAGTTTTAGTGCAAACACCTTGGCTAAGCCGCCCCCAAAGGCTAAGCTCTGCCACTGGTTTGAACACTCCAGCTGAAGAGATAAGCATGGGTAAAAAGTAGAGAAAGGAGATGTCAGTAAGTGCACTGGGATGATGAGCAAATGGAAGGGTCTAGCGACCCCATGCTCATCTTCATGGTGTTGATATGAACTTTAGATCGTGGTTTCTTCTGGGATGCCAATAATCCCCGCACTTGGGAGGCTGAGGTAGGAAGAATGCCTTGAATTTAAGCCTAGACAATATAATGAGTCCCAGGCTCACTAGAGTTATAGAACGAGAATAAAAATAAATTAGTAACTAAACAGAGAAAGGATTGCGGCAGGAGAAAAAGGTATGCATAATTAAGCATTCCTGGTCAGGGCATGTGTGTGGGTCTCTGTGACCACCAGGGCCAGCAGAGTAATGATCTGGCAAGAAGGAAATCTGGTTCAACACGACTCAGTAGGCAGTGTTGGCTCAAACTTCTAGAGTCTGATACCAGGCAGTTTATTGTAAACATATTTAAGTACAGTACAATTTGGGGAAAAGTTTCCCAGTTTAATACAATTTAATACAGTTTAATCAATCCCCTGAGCACAAGGAGTGATGATTACATGGAAACTCTTCTCAGAGTATGTATGATTTCTTCCATGAAGATGGGTTCTAGAGATAGGATTCATATAATATCTTAAGGGCCTGGGGGAGGATCTGGTGTGGTCTCAGTCATACAGATAGTGTAGAGGTCATTTGGGCTATTAGTCATCTCCAGTCCTGATTGTGGGATATTGGGAAAGTCCCGGCCATACAACTAACATAAAGGTCACCTTGACTGTTAGCTACCTCTGGTCCTGCTTGTGGGAGCTTGGTATGGCCTAGTCCTATAGATGGCCCAAATCACGGGTTATATATCTCTACTGTTGAAAAGACAATCCTGCGTGTTTAACATTCCTGGTTTCCTTAGTGCTTATCAGTGAGCACAAGGACCTTTGTGCTCCCTACAGGCACAGTCCTGCTGGTCGTTGCCTCAGCTCTGAGTCTGCAAGGTGGTCTGACAATTTTTTTAATCTGTTAATTGACTTCACACTCGAGGGGACAAATCTGGTTCTTACAAGATGATCTGCTCTAGGGTGTAGCATCACCATCATAGACAGTGGTTGTGATCAGGAAGATGATCTGACCTGTCTGTGAAGTCTTGCTCTTCTTAGAATCCATGGTGACATCAGGCTTAGGACAATGACTCTGTACCTTCAGCCTTAAAAGGAAATGAGATAGGTGACATATCACAAACGTCTAGACAGACGCTCCTTGGGAGACTAGCATGCCTTATGCACATAGGCAAACAAGGGGCCCCAAATAAGGAGACAAATGCAAAATGGAGACAATGATGCTAGGCTTTCTTTTGTTTTCAGTCACCCTGTAGTCCTAGCGAAGCAAATCCTGTTTAGAGAAGGCAGTTTCGAAGAGCTTGTGAAAGCCTGTGAGACAAACTACAGTCTCTGAGCTTGTAACTGTGCCTGCCACATATGGAGAGTAGGCCAATCTGGATCAGCTCCCCTAGGCCACAGTAGCCATACATTTAGTCAGACTTTATTCTTCCTAGGGAGGAGTTTCAAAATTAAGATTAATGTTTCAATCAGTACATTTTGAGTAAGTAGACTATGCTTCATAATGTGTCTAGAGGTC